CCCCCCCCCTCAGCTAACGGATTAGTGCCCAGCCTTTAACCTTGCCTTTCTCTCCCCTACACAAAAACCACGCTTGTCCCAGCTCCCTTTCCCCTACCCCTCCCACACTACTGCTTTCACTTGTATAGTTGCCCTTCCCCCTTCACCCTCACTGCTCTCACATAGCATGTATATTCCCAAACAGTCTGCTTTTACCGGTTCTCACGGTCTCTTCGCTTGCAGAATTCTTATATTTTCTTCTACCCTGAAGATGGAGGCGATACGTTCCTCCGAAACGTCGGTTAACACCACTTATACACGGTGCCAAATCCCAAAAGACTGCTTTCTGCATACTATACAGCTTTAAGACTACTTACTTACTTACTTACTCACTCATGGAGCTAAGCCCTTCTGGAGGAGCCACCAATTGTGCAGCTACTCAAGAATTTCCCAGCATTTTATGGAACCTGAAGGTTCATTACCTTGTTCACAAGAGCCCTCCACTGGTCCCTATCCTGAGCCAGATCAATCCAATCCATACCATCCCATTTTATCTAAGATACATTTTAACATTGTCCACCCACCTACACCTTGATCTTCCCAGTAGTCTCTTTCCTTCTGGCTCTCCCACCAATATCCTATATGCATTCGTCTCCCCCATTTGTCCTACATGCCCTGCCCACCTCACCCTCCTTGACTTCATAATTCTAATTATACTTGGGGAAGGGTACAAGTTATGAAGTTCCTTATTGACAGCTTTAAGACTATATATATTCAATATAATTTTCGCATTAGAAAACAAACTGTGCTCAACTTGTGGAGCAAAAAATCGATATGTCCCTTACAAGACAGATGATTGTCCTGCTGCAAACCGAGAAATCTTATTATTTCTACATCTTTCAGCTTTTTGTTACAAAATCAATGTACACAAAGTGTTGCGGTGAATTTTATTACCTTTGTCTTATCCAGATTTAACACAAATTGATTATTTTGAAACCACAGAAACGTGATTAGTTCCGGACTTTCCAGTGGTACATATCCCTGAGAGAAAGGTATGAACAGCAGGCATCTTCTTAATAGTATGACTTTAAGTGTTGGTTTTGATACCATACCCACCAATTTAAGTACAAGTAAAAAAGCATGTGATATTTTCCCACCTCTATAGCTAGAGCAAAATGTTTGAGGAAAAAGTTTCTGAAATTTCCTGCTTTGCATATGTGCCGATTTCATTTACCATTGGCTGCATAGGTGCTGTGTCAGAAATGATTTTAGATATATGTCAAAACTGTGGGCCGTGGATGCCAATTGGAATCGACACCCTGCAATATTGCAATCGTCAAAGTGAAATAGTTACTTTCAACAAAATATTTCAGTATTGTGGTTGGCTGATGTTTATTCATGAGGCATGCAATTTGAGGCACTACATTAGTAATGTCTTAGTGTGCCTATTTCTTCCCCAGGATCGATTATGAAACAAGAGAACCTTCTGTGAACATTTGTATGTCATCAGCAAATTATAAAATGACTGCTACATTCTTACATATTTCGTTGTGAAAACAATAAGATATAATGAAAAATTATATATCACTTACTTCCTGCTTACCATTATCGACAATGGACTTCCATCTGAGCACAGACACATAAAAGATTGTTTGAAAACTATACTGCTCCTGTAATTGGGATCACAAAATGCAACATGCCATTGAGCATTTTAGTACTGTTGGGGTCGACTCAGCCTCTAACAGAAATGAGTACCAGGAATTAATTAAATATTTTTCCTTGGGAGTAAAGCGCAGCCGGCACGTAAGGCTGACAACCTTACCGCCATCTTTGAGCTGATTGTCTAGATGATGTGGGACCCTCAACGTCTCACAACGCTATGGGCCTTCACAGCCTGGTACAGGGATAGCTTTATTTTTTTTATGAGGAAGCAGTACAGCATATTCAGACACTGTTTCAGCAGTACAGCATATTCAGACACTGTTTCAGCAGTACAGCATATTCAGACACTGTTTCAGCAGTACAGCATATTCAGACACTGTTTCATCACTTCCACTTACATTACCAGTGGAATTACACAGTGCATTTCCTCATAAAAATCTTATCTCTATGTACATATACATCCCAGTTTCATATTTAAGCCTGAATTTCAATGTTGCTCTGGTGGTATATAAAAACTGTCACTTCACATGCAAGTGAGATATCTACCATGTTACTCTGTAACAGATTTTCAATTCACATTATATGAGGAAAATTTACATTTGGAACTTACTGATTTAAAGGAAGGTTTAAGTTAGTTAATGTTCTTAAAATTGACGTTTAAGTTCCCATGAACTGACCTTCCTGTACTTTCCAGACTACAGACTTGACACTTTAACACAGTTACAGAACTACTTTATAGCAATTTGCAAGTGTACTGTATTATTCGTGCAGCATAGTATCAACAGTTAGCTGACAGCAGTAATTATCAGGGGATATCACTAGTATCAACTTTATACAAAATTTTATTCAATATTCCTCTTTCAAGGTTAAGTCCATATATAAATGAAATTGTTGGGGATCAGCAGTGTGGATTTTGACATAACAAATCAACTACAGAGCAGATTTTTTGCATTCGTCAGATATTGGAGAAAAAATGTGAGTACAATGAGACAGTACATCAGCTATTCATAGACTTCAAGAAAGCCTATGATTCAGTTAGGAGGGAAGTATTGTACAATATTCGGACAGACTTTGGGATACCCATGAAACTAGTTAGGCTGATTAATGTGTGTTTAAATGAAACGTATAGTAAAGTCTGTGTAGGTAAACAGAGAAAACTAAGTATATGTTGCTGTCTTGTCACGAAAATGCAGGGCAAAATCATGACATAAAGATAGGAAACAGATGTTTGAAAATATGGCACAGTTCAGATATTTGGGAACAATTTATACAAATCAAAACCGGATCCAGGAGGAAATTAAGAGGAGACTGAACTCGGGTAATGCTTGCTACCATTAAGTCCAGAACCTTTGTGTCTTTTTGTCTGCACTCCAATTATCCGATACTGTAGTTGTTGTTGAAAATGATCTGATACGATGTTAAAGCACATTCCTACAATATAACTCACATATATTCAATCCTGGGAACACACATAAGCATATCAGACTGATTCCTGCTGGAATAAGAGCTATGTGGTTAATTTTGGAATCACTGCACTTCTGTTCTTGTCATTAGTCAACTGTAAATGTTCATCATGTATTGGTCTCTAACCATAGTTACAGTGCTAAGCAATTACTGATAATTAGTTACCACCATCTGCAGTAGGACAGTGCACCAACAAACACCATAGAGAATTCAATGCTGATCCCACAGGTTGCTTTTGATAATACCAGAGGACTATGATAATCACATTCTCAGGGTCTAAATGTGTAACACTTATTCGTGATAAAACTTGATACAGAGAGTCTACAGAAAAATTCATGCTATATGGACAAGACTCGAAATTTCTATTCTAGAAATCACATGATGTGAAATTCAACATACAGCAGAATTTCTAACATCAGCTTGAAATGTGCTTGGATGTTGAACAATTCACTTTCAGCAGCTTCTGTAGTATCAGATACATAAAGCTTTACTGTAAACAAATACTGGACATTAATGGTGCCCCCAATAAGAGCCATATATTAGCCTTACTGGGATAAAGCCATCCAATAGTAAGTGTCCCACTCTAAGAACTTGCAGTCATAAGGGCAAAAACAAAGGAAAGAATGTTGGTGACTCACTCTTTCTTTCCAAATTAAGAAACTGAGAAAAAGAATTTTGCTGGAGGTAGAGAGATGGGAAGAACTTAAGAGGAAAAATGTAAAAGTCTGTGTGGTACACGATTTCACAACGAATGTCAAAGTATCAGGTAGATGTCAGTAAACAGTCCACATGGCCCTGAAAAAGTACCACCAATCAAACCACATGCTCATGTGCACTGCCATGATAACCTAAAATCTCACAGACCTTTATTTTTCTAGAGAACATGACACAAAATAATACCTTCTGAAATTCAAAAATATGAAATCTTACTGCTGGATATGCTTATTTTTCCTAATGGTTCCTAAGTGTGTAACTTTCTTCTTGAGGAGGTACTTGGAAAGTGTACCAGTTACTGGTTACGCTCATGTTCAAGCCTTCAATATCACCAACAAATCTCTGTTCTGTGAGTACTTCAAATTTCATGACATCATTCATATAATATTCTCTCTTCATCCCAAGATAGAAGTTCCCAAGCACAGCCATGATCTTGTTGCTTGCAGTTTCTGCTGGATCTCCCTATCTGTTATATTGAACAGTGAACAATTTTTTGTAGACATATATGTTCACATAGTCTACAGTCTCCTCAACAGCAGTCACATAAACCATCATGTGGTGCAGAATTTTCGTCTGTAGTTCTCTTGCAGCTGCTGCTGGCCCAGGCTAAATTTCTGGTATGTTCTTACTTACAGTTAAACTCAATTAAAAGAATAATTTTTTACTCCGTGTTATATCTTCCAATGTACCAATTACTGCCTTGCCTTATACAGCTGCTCGTAGTCTCCAAGTATGCTCCCCAGTCTTACTTGATTCGGAATCACTACTCATGGGCTGGGGTGGCTCATTCTGTACAGCAATGGGTTATGGGCTGAATGGCCTAGGCTCAATTTCCAGGAGTGCAATATTTCTCTCTTCTCCATAGTGTTCCAAGGCCAAGAAAGTGCAGCGACAACTTTACCTTACCACTATGAGTGATAATCTAACCATCCCACTGACTCAGTGTCCCTTCCAGGGCATTATGACCCTGTTGTCAGGTAATTCCAGAATTGTTCTGTTACATTTTGCCCTTAAAAGTAACATTGTCAAATTTTCCATTTCAAAGATACTTCAAACAGCTACAAAGTAAACCATGAAAAGGCAAAAGTTTACTTACATGTACTGGTGTGCTGCAAGCGACTCTTACATCAAGCGTAACATCTCTACCATAAATAACGCACACAGTACACCACCACACCCACTTCAATGTTAATGTAAAACTATCAGTACTACACTACGTTAAGAATGAAAGATACGAGTATGTGCGGTTTATTTGATGGCGAAAAATAATTTCGTCTCAATCTTCAAGCAATCGGTTTGAATTTTTAAGGTAAATAAGGATCTATAACGTTAAAATACAAGACGTGTTTCTAACCTATGTAACGTCATACTAATAACAAATCAGATTCATATTGCAACTAGAAACAACTTACATATATCACAGTGTCCTAGTTACAATGTAAATACAAAATAAAACTTTACATATAAGTGGTTTTCGCCGTTTTCTGGTACTAATGCAAGATTCGATATGTCATACCCTGTTCCATATCATACACGCCCACTGCAACTCTGTGACCTTTCAACATGTTCCGGAGTATGGCGCAATTCTGTTAGCCATATAAAACGGATGAGAAGACACTTTATATCATGGACAGTTCTGATGTTCTGAGCATATGTGTGTTTAATCAGTGAGAAATTCTGTTCGGGCATCTTCACTGTTTCAGTAGCAGCAAGAGAAAACCAGGTAACATTTCCGTCTACATGCCATGTTCAACAGTATGAATGCATGTATGAGGCGTGGTGGGTCTTCTCGGCCCTTGCACCGCGACCTACATTGATCTATTTTGCTCATGTTCGGCAGTATAAAGAATATGCCTGATTTCAGGGCACAGTAACTAATTAAGTAAACATTCCTATATTATTGCGATCATAAAACAAAAATACACCTTTTAGTAACTCGGTATAATGGTACTCATATTCATAATAACGGACGCAAAACTCACAATGAGAGAACTCGTGCGCTTATGTTGTGTGTTCGAGCAATCGTAGATTCTGACGTCTGGTAAGAGATTATTATTCAGTCACTTTCAGACGTTAAATAATTTTATAATTTTGACAATTCCAATAATACTGTAACGTAGATGGAAACAGCGTTCCTTGATAAATGACCGTTATACGCAAGGCAACAATGGGAGTGCGGCGTTTTATAAAAAAAATATGATAATTAATGTATTTAATGCGGTCGCTCCTAGTGCGTGTGCAACGATGAACTGGAAAGTGGGTAATTTATCGATTGCGCCGTATTGCATGTATTTAAGCGTAATTAAGAGTATGTAACCAAGATGTTAATAAATCCAATGATCCGAACTAGACCCCGTCATTTCGCCACGCACGACACGTGACAACACTGTTACTGAATGTTAATGTAAATGCTTCGCCCGTCATTTGACACTGTTTTAATATGTTACTTTCCTTAATATAACGTCTATTCGTATCGTCACATAGTATCAGTGTGACCACAGACGGAGTTTGAATTGGTGACTCGATTTATTGACTACTTCAACACACAACTCGTAACTGCACATAATTAGAGCGCCATCGCTAATTTCCACTTTACAATTAACTAAAGCACACACTAAATATTTTCCAGCCCGCAGTGTCTTCACTAGTAGTTGCCTGGTAACGGCTCCAACAGTGTATTCTTCAAGTCAAATTCAAAGTCACGATGCGACTGACGGTCAGTCAGTAAGTCTTAGTGTCAATCCCCACCTGGGGCTCATGACCAGATATTTATTACAGTTTGACAGCTACGGTCTTGTTTTTTGTGAGGCGCCCTCTCAGACGAGAAGATGGGTCTGTCTTTTGTACATGTTTCTGGACCTTGCCAGCGCAGTCGTTCTGGGGTCCGAGTCCCTTGGTACGCGCGGCAGTATTTCACTGTCTCAGATTTGGGACTTCCCTTTTCGTCATCTCCTACGACTCGCAGGGTCACGGTGGAGGTATTCGACCATGCCTCCATACGGGTTTCCCTGATTTAACCGAAGTCAAAGTCACATTGCGGCTGACAGTCAGTCAGTAAGTCCTGGTGTCTAGTCCCATCTCAGGCTCATGGCCAGATATTTATTACTGTTTGACAGTTATGATCTTGTTTTTGTGGGGAACTCTTTCAATTGACCTAATCCTTCCGGCTGCACTATGGCCCTGGGGTCGACTCAGCCTCTAACAGAAATGAGTACCAGGAATTAATTAAATAATTTTCCTGTAGTGTAAAGCGCGGTCGGCACGTAAGGCTGACAACCTCATGCCTATCTTTGAGCAGATTGTCTAGATAATGTGGAACCCTCGTCTCACAACCCTATGGGTCTTCACGACCTGGTACAGGATACCTTTACTTTACTTTTTACTTTCCAATAAAACATCATTCTGTATGTGTATATGAAACTCACACATCTTCGGATGAAGACATCTGAAATACTGAAAACTCACAACAGAGAAATGTATTTGTCACTGTTAAATTTGCTTCACAGTGTTTCAGTCTGGTGATTGTGGAGCTGTTCTCCCCTCACCCCTCCACAATGGCTTCTGGGAAACATTTTACAGATTTACCAGATGAGCTGTTGCTGATAATTTTCTCAAACTTGAGTATTGAAGACCTTGCAATGTCTGTACAACATGTTAATTCACACTGGAAGAATGTCTCACAAGATGATTCACTATGGGAATACCAAACCTTTAGTCCTGGGTGCAAGATGAGCGATGAGGAAATATCAAGACATCTAAGGAATATGCCAGCACTACGATCGTTCTGTCCAAGTAGAGGAACAAACACGAAAGTCGTTGATACACTGTGCAAATATTGTAGAGATATTCGACACATATACTTTGGATATTTCCACAAGCTGAGTAATTCAACATTGCATCAGATTCTTAAAAAATTTCCCCATATAGAGGAGCTCGTTATCCCTCTTCCCAAAGTAACAGATCAATTACATTTTGCAGAGCTAGTTGCACAGTTTCAAAAACTGACAACATTAACTTTTACCAGCCACTGTCTTTCCACAGTTGCAAGTGGGGTACTCAGAGCAATTGCTGATGGATGTCCATCTCTACAATGCGTAGATATGGGATTCACTAAATCCCAAACTAAAGACATTGAATATTTTCTGGAGAAAAAGGGGCGACAGCTTTCATCTTTCTCAGTTAGAAGCTACATATCAACTGTAGCTCACAAGCTCTTAACAGAATGTTCAAATTTGGAATCTCTCACTTATCACAATTTAAATGTAGATCTGCCAAATACATACATACAATCTCTCTCAAAATTGTCAGAAATGCGCAAGTTGGTACTTAGGTATTTTAGAGAATGTCAAACACGAAATGTATCCAGTATATTTAAGAATCAGTCAATGTCTAAATTAATTACTTTATACTTATATGACTCTGATGATTTTGATGGTTCATCATTAGCTGTGATTTTGACAAACTGCCCTCAACTCCAAAGACTTGCTGTTCATGAGTGTGGACTTACAGATGATGGTTTCCAGTATACTGGTCCCTGTAAGAATCTACAATATCTTGATATTTATCGTTGTATATTAATAACAGACAAAAGCATGGAATATGTTGGTGCTCAATGTCCAAACCTCAGGCATCTTTATGTTGCACATTGCTACCAGCTGACAAACAAAGGCATTGAATATGTTTGCTTAGGCTGTCAGAAACTGAAGTACCTTAGTATTCAAAGTTGTCCTAAAATAACAGATGATGTGATGGAACACATATTCAAATGCAAACAGCTGGAGGTTCTTGAACTTTCACACACTTCTCATCTATTAGGAATTAATTTTCATCTGATTCCATCCACTCTTGTCCATTTGACAGAACTCCATGTTCATGATTGTAGTTCATTGGATAAGAAATGTATGGACAAACTTAAAGACGAAATGCCACATCTGTTAATTGCAGGAATTTATACCAGGAATGAGGAAACTGATGTTAACCTAGCCGATGCAAATTTCTTCATTTCTCAGTTACTGTGAAAATGGTGTGTGTAGTGAAGTAAAATGTGGTGGTCTACAAAACATGTAATCCTGAAGAAAAATTATTTCTGCGAAATAATCTACACTATATATATAAATAATCATTCTGAAGTCAGTTGTTTGAATATAGTTAGATTTCTTGTTTTTATCTATACATTATATGATGTTTTACTTCCTTATAATGAGTTCAGAATTATGGACACATTCTTTTCAGAGACTGAAATTGTATGTGAATGCACATTTGCTCATTGTAATTTTTCAATAAAAACAAACATGAAACAGAAAATTAGCACTTTGAAAACCGGTAGCATAATATTATGCTTTTCGCTTTTAAACTTGGCAGACCGGTTGCATAATATTATGATTTTAGGACATGTTATGTTGAAACACACTATACCTTGTACTGGCGCCAGGCAGATGCATGACTGGTGCGTGATAGACCTCTTGAATGTTTGCTTCGTAGTCAGCAACATGACCCAACTGTTTTCCTTTCCCACTCCAAAAGAAAATACCTCTGTTCATCTTCCAGCTGTATGCACCAGGCAGGAAGTTAGTAGTGCAAAATGGATCAAGGTCGAAAGAGGTTGAGGTCGAAGCATTTTCTTGGAGAACAAGAAATATCTGACTTCTTCTCCGATGAGCTATCTGACATGCCTTGTGAGATGTGTAGTGATAGACTCAGATAGTGGCAGTGACAGGGGACAACAAAGATTTGAGGCCACAGACAGTAAAAGTGACAGTAGCTCCGACGAAAATGCAGATAGTGACATTGCGGGGACAGCCGCATGGGGAAAAGTAGACAAAACGCCTACTTTGGAACAGTTTACTGGATATCCGGGGGTTAAACAAATTCCATTGGACCCAATGCAAGTGTCTGAAGTAGCAGAACTGTTTCTTGGAGATAAGTTTCTTTGACAGGTTATGTCAGGAAACTAACAGATACTATCTCCAACACCGTGAAGAGTATGACAGAAGTTATAAGGTGTTGAAGTGGGTGGATGTTACTTCAGCAGAAATGAAAAATTTTTTTGCAATCTTTCTAATGGGACATACAAGGAGGGATAATCAAAAGAGTATTGGTCAACAGATCCATTTTTAGAAATTTCCATTTTCGGCAAACTAACGAGCCATAAGAGATTTGAACAAATTTGGTGGTGTTTGAATTTCAGTAATAATGAACTGCAACCACAATCAACAAGCAGACTTTTCAAAATTCAGTCCTTATTAAACTGTCTCATTCAGAAATTTCAGACAGTTTAAAAGCCAAACCAACAACTGTCTTTGGACGAATCTGTGACTCCTTGGAGGGGAAGGCTTCGTATGCGAACATATAATCCTGGGAAACTTACAAAGTATGGCCTACTTGTTCGTGTAGTTACTGAAAGCACTTCAGGCTATATTGGAAATTTAGAAATTTATTCTGGTGAAGGCAAAAAATTTCAAGAAACTATTGTTTCCGTTTTGGAACCCTATCTTGATCAAAATTACCATGTCTATCAAGACAATTATTATAACAGTGTAGTAACTGCAGAATACCTTCTTTCGAGAAAAGTACATGTTTGTGGAACAATTAGGGTGAGCAGAGGCCTTCCTCCAGATCTGAAACGTGGTGAAACCACATTCAGGAGGAAGGGGGATATTCTTCTTCAGTTCTGGAGGGATACTCGTGTTATGAATATGATTTCCACAATTCACAATTCGAGCATGGTTGATGTTCAAAGGAGACATTGACAAGTAAAGAAGCATATCTGTATTTCTGTCTATATGTTCATGGAGTTGAGAAAGCCGATCAATACTTGGCCTATTATTCTCTTCCTAGGAAAATAATAAAGTCAAAAAAGAAAGTCGCCTTGTGGCCTATAAATTGTGCCATTTTCGATTCATTTTGGGTTTACCAAAATCTAAATCCAGATTCGAAATTTAAATACAAAGCATTTCTGATGAATGTGGCAAAGGCCTGGGCTAGAGACCAGGTGGTGGCGGCAGAACCAGTCAGACACAGACTTAGGGCGACTGGGCCCATCAACTCCCACCCCACGCAGGCCTCATGTGGACCCCCTGGGTGCCCCTCGGGTGATATGCGGAAAGATACCCTCATGAAAATTGTGAAGGGTAAACATTCCAAGGAGAAGCATCCTTCAAGGCAATGTGGTGTTTGCACAGTTCACAGTATGACTGTCTACATTTGCAAGTTCTGTGGAATGCCACTTCACAAAGGGGAATGTTTCCAGAAATATCACACACTCAAGCACTTCTAGGGGCATTGGTAAGTGTTCTTCAAAAATTTTAGTTCATGAAATTAATTAGGAGATTTTATATTAATTTTTAAAAAGAACAGTGCAGAAGTTAGGGTAGTATGTTTAAAAATGCTGGTCCCCAGGGTGATTTAAACAAGTGCATGAAATTCTTACCTCATGAAATGCTTTTCACCATTTTATATTACAATTCAGTAACTATTGTTACATCTTCCCAAGCTACTCTGAAGGTATATTTTAACTTATTTATCCCTTCAGTTCTTTCCATGTATATCAGGGTAGTACTAGGCGATATGTTTCTGCAGTCACTGTAAAATTAAAATCTATATATTACAATCTAACTTGATCCTTGACATGCCAAGAAACTTTTACTTTTCCATCGAACAAGTAATTCGCTGTTAACTTGTCATCTAAGTGTCATATATTTGAGTTACTGCGTTCATTATCTTGAATGGGTTTTGTGGAAATAAAGAAAGAACATCAAATGTTGAATTCCTTTCATTATAACACATTTTTGGGCTTTTTTGATATTTGAACAGACTGACTTTCTCAGTCATATGGAGAACAGCATTTGAGTATAACATATTTTATCTGATTTGTCTGTATATTATTTATACTTGGCCTTCCTGGCTATTAATCCTTAAATACTGCATGTGTATGCCAGCATTAAATAACTTTCAAAAGAAATTAAAATCGATTTGTGATCTACAACGTGATGCTCCTTGAGTAACCTTTCTTTTTATTTATGAAATCCTGGACTGCTAAATAGCAAGTACTATACCAGTTTGGTGTCCAAATTTGAGGGGGGTGGTAAGCATTACAAAAACAAAAATCCATTTCATGCTCTGTATAACATCAAAGGGCCAATTTTCATGAACTTCTTATTAAGATCATTACGCACATCCAAATCATCCTTCCTGGTCTACTATTGCAACACACCATTTTCCAGATACTCTAACTCTGCAGCAAGCTTTTAGGCATATGAAATAAGCAGAGTAGTTGCAGACCTTACTGGATACAGATAACTGGAACTACTGATATATTTTATGTTGTTCATGTTATGCACCTGAATAACATTTTCAAATACATTAAAAATGTTTCTGAAATTAAACAATTTTACTTTCTCCATAACTTAGGCTTTTGGTTCATTTTTTCATTAACTTCCAAAAAATCTGCAAATAATTTTTGGCACATTTTACAAGGACTGAAGTGAAGAAAAACTGTCTCCATTTACCAAATAATGGAGAGTAATTTCTACCTTCATCTTGGCTGACAAGGGCGTTCTCATAACAGTTTCTTTCTTCTGAATGTCCCTTCAGCTTCTCTGAGCAAAAACATGGACTAGTCAACATCAAGTGATTGCACTTTTTCATGCACCAAGCATTTCCTCCCATTTTATGCATTCACAAACTAGCACTTTTGCTTATTATCTTCTCCATGTGTTTGTGATCTAAATATTTCTATAAGGGCATTTAGTTGCTGATAATATGACCTCTCTTGATGCCATTTCAACAAAAGCTAGCATCATTAACAGCTTCCCATATAAACGTTCGATGTTGTGTCACTTAAAATATACCATTCTCTCACTGAATAACATCACTTAGCACAATACGTACATGAGCTTTTACAGGTCACTTGTCAGAATACACAGCTGATTTGTGACTGAAGGCTGTCTGTGGTGACATCTATTGTGAAGAGTAGGAATGCATACAGTGGTAACGATCCACCAGACTAATGGCTCCTCAACTCAGAAGATGAATTCTTCATAAATGGGAATTACACACTTGGAAATTCAAGGCTTTCACAATTGCTATCATCACTACAGTCAACTGGGATGTGATACTGTGTTTTGGACCTGGCCTAAGTTTCACATTAATATGATGTATACTGTAAATATGGCCAAGATATACTAGCAGGGCAGTGGCTTCACTTGCACTGTCAAGAGGTTGGAATCTTTATCAATCCACTACACCATCTGCTGAGAACCACTAGCTCTAAAGACACAGACAGTAATTTGGAAGATACTAAACAACAATTTGGAGGAACCTACTGGCTTCACCTTCTGGGCACCCCAACTGTTTCAGGGGAACCTGCTGCATTCATATTCAGGATATCCTGACCAATATGTCTGAGATATCTGCTACCTCCATCACTATGATACACTGAACATGGTGGCAACAGGTTCTCCAAAATACTTGCACTTTCCTTCAAACTGCATGGCATCACATCTCACAAGACCATAGTATTTTATACACCTGTAAATTCTGTATGTTTCCAAGTATGATTTAAATTGATCTAGTCATGTAGTAAAGTTGCCCTTGAGATCGTCTCACTCAAGACAGTATTCACTTTCCTTCAGCCAATGGAAGGAGATGTAGACCTAAAACATTGGGTGCATATAACCCCTGAAAATGCAGAAAAGTTTTCACTGGACAGACCAGACCTCCACTGAGACTAGGATCGGAGCACCAATGGTACCTAAAGCCATAAAATACAGCCATACCACAACACAACATAAAAGTGGTCACTGCATCCTGCTAGAGGATCCAATATGCTCACCAAAAATCTCCATGCATGGACTGGATCATCAGAGCTGCAATATAAAAATGTGTAAATCTATGATGATTTCTTCCTGAGCAGGTCATGTAAGCTTCTCATGCATTCCCCAAAGGAGAGCAAGAGAGCTCTATCCAAGGAAGAGTCTTTACTTGACTTGTCTGTCCTTAGCCCTTAAAAGGGAATTCTTTGTTCCTCTTCCTCCTGTCTACAGTAGTGGCCAATTTCAAGGTCTGCGTTCTCACTGAGAAATCTCCTCTTCCCTATCCCTGATTGTCTGCAGCCGCTCCTATCATATGGGATCCACTTATTCCCACCACTTATATAAAAACAGCCACATTCCCATTTGGTTTGCATCTATTCTGAAGCTGGAGGCAATATGTTCTTTGAAAATGTTGGTATCCCCTACCACGCTATAAGGTGTCATAACCCAGATCACAATGAAAATCTCATATTTAACTATTATCTACCACCACTATTTTCTCATTTCAGCTGAATACATAACCATTTTGACTTTGGAGTTATATGTAAGGATATTTGTATTCAGAGTTTGACATAGCATAATGAAATTATCTAGTGTTATAACATTGTGAGGATTATTTTGATTTTTAAAATCTCACTTCTAGCTCTGTTACTAACTTGCTATTTTATTTTTTGTTAAATTTGTTCATTCATCTTTC